GTCTCACGCGTGCCCGCGCACACACACACACACACAAAACATCCCTGTCATTATTTGAAAGTGACAGACGGTGGATACTAAAGCTAAATCGTTGTGGTGTTGTAGTTACATTGTGTGTGGGTTTAATTGCTTTACGCACGCGCACAAACACTGATGCATGATTTCATTTTATTTATTTTCAGGTATCAGGTAAAGGTGTGGCGCGTACTGCACAAAAAGGCGTGCTGAAGTGCAGATACCTGCGCGCTTTAATAACCGCTGCATGGACATTTAAGTGGGTTTTCTTCTCGCTGGAGACGCACGTTGCGCGCACGCTCAAGTTGTTCATTCTTTCTGGTTGGGCTCGCGGGCTCGAACGCCCGCGTGCACACACACACACACGCGGAGAGAGCTGCTCAAAATGTAGGCTTTACCTCCACAGACTCACCCAGAGCCTTTGTAACTTACGCCAGGTTCAATTTTGACCTTGCAATGTTCTCAGTGGTGGTTTTCTTTAATGCACTAGCCCCTTCTCTGTGCCCTCCAGCCACCTACCCAATGCTATCAAACTACACCCCCTCTGCCTTCTTCCCGCAGCATATCAGCATCCAGACTAAATGTCAGCGCACGGGAGTCTAGAAATAACTCTTTTACCCCTCAACAGACGACCATTCCTCGGCTCCAGCAGACCCAGGCACAGAGAAGGAAGAGTTGGAAGCATAGGTGGATAGATAGAGAGGGCAAGAGAAAGCCGAGCCTTCATTTTGTGCGTTAAACAAGAAATAAAAGAGTTTAAACTTTACCTCTTTCAAGGATAGGTTTTCTTCGTTCACCGGCTGTCAGCGCGCAATTATTTCTCCAAATCCCATTATTGCGAAGATAGTGGCAATTATAGTTGTAATTCCACACAAATATGCTCCAAATACGAAAATATGCCCCATATACGTATATATCGAAGTAAATGTGCGTAATATCCTTTGGTTGTCTGTAAATTCCGTTTAGGTTTATAGTTCAATCCGATCTTCCGGAGGGGTGCGTCCGTTTTGCATTCTCACAGCGCCCGACGACTACATCCTCCTCTTGTTCTCACTCCTCTCTCTTTCACACTCTCCCCCGTCTTCTTCTCTCCCGGTTTCATCCCTCCATCCGCTTGGTAAGGGAAGAATCCCATCCGAGAGAAAACTGGAGTGATTCTCTCAGCCCTCCGCCCGTCTCCTTCCTCTTCTCTATCTTCCTTCTTTTTGTCTTCTATTTCTCGCCTCTTCTTCCGCTCCTTCTCCTCCCTCTTTCACCTAGGGCAGGTGAAACAGGGAGAATTCCGCTGCAAGGCAGAAAATATCCCAGGTAGGAAAAAAAAGGGGGTGGAAAACTCAAATTAATCCAGAAAAATTCCGCGGGTTAGAGAGAGTTTGTTGGTTATTAAGCACTTAAAAATCCAAACCAGTACATTTCCTGGCTTGTTAGACAAGCTTTTAATATCGAATTTGGGATTTTCTTTTACACCCACTCCCTCCCGTTCTCTTTCTCGCTGTCCTCTCTCTCTC